GGCGGTACGTGACCTGCGTCTCCTGCTCAATCTCAGAGTCCAGCTCTGGGACATCCGAATGTTCCGAATCGGATTCGTCGCTATTGGAATCCATCAAACTCTCTGACAACAAAGAGAAATGAGAGTGAAAGATCGCAAAAAAAGGTGTAGTGTTCCTTTAAGTAAATTTTAAGCCAAAATGTTTTACTTTTAGCATTGGAAGGGTTAAAGTCATTGGGGTGATTTCCCTTCTTTTACTATCTGTAGACACGACAGGAAGTGAAAGGAAATCTCTCCACAGTGAGGGATATTTTCTCTTAGTTGTCACAGCAACGAGTGTCCCCATTGGAAGATTTCACCTCTATTCCTATCCAGTGACAACTCAGAGTTTTGGATTTCCCCTCACTGTCTGTCTCGGTGGTGGTGGTCACAGGACAAATATAGAGGGTCAGTTACACAGACAGCAGACAATAGAAACCTGATAAAAAAAGATGAATAGAAGCACCAAAGGAAGTAGAGCTGGGGTAGGCAACCGCGGCGCATCAGCTGTTGTGGAACTACAAATCCCATGAGGCATTGCAAGTTTCTGACACTCACAGGCATGGCTTTAACAGGCAGAGGCATGATGGCATTTTTAGTTTCACCCGGTGGTGTCACTAGGGGGGTGTGGCCTGCACCCGGGTGACACCATTGGACGGGTGACACCAAAATCACTGAGTCATTTTGGTGTGTCACCCCCTCTGAAAAGTCAGGCACTTGGTCATGGACCAAGAGCCCGACAGTTGCACGAGAGAGGAGGGCACTGGCGGCATACCTTACCCCGCCGGGTGAACGTCCCTCCTCTCTCTGCCGGTGTCCATTACCAAGATGGCCGCCGGCAGGTATCACCAAGATGGCCGCGCATGCGCCATGACGGACTCACCCTGTGGAGCAATATGGAGAACGTCCTTCAGCTTGCGGTCTGGTATAAACTTCCACTGGAATACCGAGTGGTCGGCGCCACCAACCGAGATAATCCACTGATAGTCATGTGACCATCGCACACTGGTGACATGAGCCGAGTGGCCCAAGTACTTCCGGAACTTTGCTCCTGAACAACAAACAAGGTAAATAAAATAATTATTATTATTATGTTTTTTGGGGCAAGTGGCAGTTGATGAATCATGTGACCTACTCTCTTCCTTGCCTCCCTACATTTTCTAGCTGCTGCAAATGACAGTAGAAGGAGGAGGACACAAACAGGAAATATTATACATGCAAAGATGAAGCATCTCGTTCACAGAGCATCAAAACATACCACTTCACGTCTCTGTAGGACTTGTAAGACACAAAGAGTGTGGAGTGTGAAGAGTGAAGAGTACAGGGTCCGTTGTCTAAATGGCAGGTGCTCCTGTCCACAGGCTGAGATGACGGGAAAAGGCTGTTTTTATGATTCTGCATTAGGCAGGCGTGGAGTGGGTACACGGAGTGGGTACATGGAGTGGATACATAGAGTGCATGCAGTGGATACGTAGAATGGATACATGGAGTGGATACATGCAGTGGAAAAATGGAGTGGGTACATAGGATGGATACATAGGATGGATACATGGGGCGGGTACATAGAGTGGGTACATGCAGTGGGTACATGCAGTGGATACATGACGTAGATACATGGAGCGGATACATGTGGTGGATACATAGAATGGAAAAATGGAGTGGATACATAGAGTGGGTACATGGAGCAGATACACGGAGTGGATAGATAAAGCAGATGCATGGGGTGGATATATAGAGTGGGTACATGCAGTGGATACATAGAAAGGAAAAATGGAGTGGATACATGTAGCGGATACATGGAGAGGATACATAGAGTGGGTACATGGAGCAGATACACGGAGTGGATAGATAAAGCAGATGCATGGGGTGGATATATAGAGTGGGTACATGCAGTGGATACATAGAAAGGAAAAATGGAGTGGATACATGTAGCGGATACATGGAGAGGATACATGGAGAGGATACATAGAGTGAGTACATGGAGTGTATACATGGAGAGGATAAATGGAGAGGATACATGGAGTGGATACACAGAACAGATACACGGAGTGGGTACACGGAGAGGATACATGCAGTGGATACATTGAGCAGATACACGGAGTGGATACATAGAATAGATACACGGAGTGGATACATGCAGTGGATACACAGAACAGATACACGGAGTGGGTACATAGAATAGATACACGGAGTGGATACATAGAATAGATACACGGAGTGGGTACATAGAGCAGATACATGCAGTGGATACATAGAGCAGATACACGGAGTGGGTACACGGAGTGGATACATGCAGTGGATACATAGAATAGATACACGGAGTGGATACATAGAATAGATACACGGAGTGGATACATAGAATAGATACACGGAGTGGATACATAGAGCAGATACACGGAGTGGGTACATAGAGCAGATACATGGAGTGGGTACACGGAGTGGATACATAGAATAGATACATGGAGTGGGTACACGGAGTGGATACATGCAGTGGATACATAGAGCAGATACACGGAGTGGGTACATAGAGCAGATACACGGAGTGGATACATAGAATAGATACACGGAGTGTGTACATAGAGCAGATACACGGAGTGGATACATAGAGCAGATACATGGAGTGGGTACATGCAGTGGATACATAGAATAGATACATGGAGTGGGTACACGGAGTGGATACATAGAGCAGATACACGGAGTGGATACATAGAGCAGATACACGGAGTGGATACATAGAGCGGATGCATGGAGTGGAAACATGGAGAGGATACATGGAGTGGGTACACGGAGTGGATACATAGAGCAGATACATAGAGCGGATGCATGGAGTGGATACATTTGGCAAAGGATTTCATTCTGTGATCAGTGTGAAGTTAGAATGTAATTTATTAGAAGTTTATTCCGTGACAACCATTCCCTCTCCTTCCTGTGTATTGAACCATTCCCTCTGCTTCCTGTGTATTGAACCATTCCCTCTCCTTCCTGTGTATTGAACCATTCCCTCTGCTTCCTGTGTATTGAACCATTCCCTCTCCTTCCTGTGTATTGAACCATTCCCTCTGCTTCCTGTGTATTGAACCATTCCCTCTCCTTCCTGTGTATTGAACCATTCCCTCTCCTCCTCCCTGTGTATTGAACCATTCCCTCTCCTTCTTGTTTATTGAACCATTCCCTCTCCTTCCTGTGTATTGAACCATTCCCTCTGCTTCCTGTGTATTGAACCATTCCCTCTCCTCCCTGTGTATTGAACCATTCCCTCTGCTTCCTGTGTATTGAACCATTCCCTCTCCTTCCTGTGTATTGAACCATTCCCTCTCCTTCCTGTGTATTGAACCATTCCCTCTCCTTCCTGTGTATTGAAGCGCAGAGATCGGATCATTTATTGAACAATCTTGCTCTCCTGTGGACGGGATCACCAGGCGGTTTTTCTTTCCAGGGGGTTGCCGAGGTCATTGCGGTTGGTCTGGCTGAGGGACGGTCAATGAATTTGCCCCCACAGTGAGGTCAGTGGCTTCGGGTATCCGTCAGGCCGGGAGGTGCCCAGTTTGAGGTCGGACTGATGGAACAATATCCGTCTTCATGCGAGGAGTCTGCAGGGCATCACTTAAAGGAGAGGTCATTATTCCGGGCCTCCCGGAGGTCTCATGACTCAATCAAGATGAGAAGAACTCCCGGCGTGAATCTTACCGCCTGTCACTTTGTAATTAACTTGTTCAAAAATTAATGGGGCGTCATTAATAATGGAGGGCAACTGGGCTATGGGAGATCCGCGGCTCCGTCCATTGTGACGACTGCACGGGAATAAAGACTAATGGGAATCCGCTGGAGAGCCGCAGAACAAAAAAGACACTTTGCGTGTTCATCGCGTCAACTCTCCGATAATATTCATATACAGCTTTATAAACATTCTCAATTGGTCTGTGTGATGTCATAGTATACGGCAACAGTAAATCACCACCTTTCATCACTAAAGAGCCATACTTGAGCGTCAGAGCTTTGCCAAGGCTTAGATGATGTCATCAGTCTGCTGCAGGCAGGAGGAAGCATTTCCTCAATCCCTCTCCCCCCAGTGATCAGTCCGCTGCAGGCAGGAGGAAGCATTTCCTCAGTCTCCCCTCCCCCCAGTGATCAGTCCGCTGCAGGCAGGAGGAAGCATTTCCTCAGTCTCCCCTCCCCCCAGTGATCAGTCTGCTGCAGGCAGGAGGAAGCATTTCCTCAGTCT